TTTCATGTGTTGTTGTTGCATCATCTTACCCTGCTTCTGCTGTATTCTTTAATTTGGCTTATTGCTGTATTGTATTATATTATTATTCTATTTCCGTTCCTTTACTGTCATATTGGATATGTATCAAATGTATATATAGTTTAAGGTTGTTATTCTCTCTGTCTCTCTATCTGTTTTGTTCCTCGCTCCTTATCTCTATGTATATCTCTCCCTTTCTTTCTTTCCCTCTCCCTCTCCCCCTCCCACATCTCTCTCTCTCTCTCTCTCTCTATCTATCTATCTATCTATCTATCTATCTTTCTATCTCTATCTCTCTATTTCCATCTCTCTCTCTCTATTTCCATCTCTCTCTCTCTTTATCTCTCTCTCTCTCTCTCTCTCTCTACTCTCTACTCTCTCTCTTCATCTCTTTCTCTATCTGCCGATCCATTTGTATATCTATCTATCTATCTATCTATTTACCCATTATGTACAAAGATCCCTCCTTTTGGAAAAATAAACACATGAAAACAGAAAAAATAACTTTGTTGTACATAATCAGGTCAGATCTCATCAAGCAACTTTTATACAGGTGTTCTAGGATACGATAATCTAGCCGACCAGCTTAGAAGTGTTCAAATCCGTAAGTACAAAAATGAAGTGAATTATTTATATTTTCATTTTCCAAAACCGCTTTTGCCTTAATGCGCCATGCAACGCGTTGCTTTTTACTTATTAAAAATAACTAATAAAAAAATATATTGCAACGAAAAAGAATGATGATTATTAAAATTGCAAGCGATTCTTTTTTTTGGTTTTGGTTTTTCTTAACAGGTATCGTGCACTGATTTTTTTTTTTTTTTTCAAAATAAAAATTGATTGCATGGGGTTCATTAATGATGGCCACGATTTTCCTTTTTTTTTTTTTTAATCAAGACGCTGTTTTGACACGCCCACGAAAAAGTAGAAAAGATGTGAAAGGGAATGAACGATTTCCTCAATGCAAGATATGTCATGATTCTGCAACACTATCAAATCGCCCTTTCCACATGTTGCATTGTCGATCTTTTTCCTTCCCGAATTCGCATATTTTCTACCTTTTTTCTCCCTTCGTTCCAATAAAATCGTCTTGTGCGCAGGTAAGGCCGATAGTCGTATGAAATTAATGCTACAATTAGTCTGGTTATGCGTTTTATTCGTTAAATAAAAACAACAACAACTGAAAGGACGAGATTTAGCATGTATTACTGAATAACCAAGCTTATTCTTTGGTAATTAGTTAACGGATGATGACATAAACATAAATAAGTAAATAAAACATACTATTATGAATGCATTTGCAGTGAGTTTATCCTTCCTACCAGCATCTGAGGTGAAGGATTTTTTTGTTTTTTTTTGCGAATCTTTGGAAGAGAAATATTGGTATATTTTAATTAACATCTTTCATAAAATGAAAAAAAATGCTAATAAGTGAAAAAAAAATATTTCTAATTTTCATTTTTGTTGAACGACTTCATTGAAACCGTGCATAAATAGAAGCATATATGCCATGTAAAAGTTTAACTGAAAACTTGTGTAAATCAATAGATAAATGACATAAATAAATCCTTATAATTACATGTATTAACAGGAGACATACACTTCAAAGGACTATGAATATTTATAGGAAGCTTTGGATTCTCCCTCTCTTTCTCTCTCTTTCTCTCTCTCTCTCTCTCTCGTCCCCCATCCTCCCTCCTACCTTCCCTCTCACCTCCCACCCTCCCACTCTCTGCCCTCCTACCTTCCCTCCACCTCACCACCTCCCCCCTCCCACATGCCCTCCGCCCCCTCCCCACCCCTCCTCTCTCTCACTAACCCCTTCCCTCCCTCCCCCAGGTTCTCCCGGCCCCCTGACGCCACCAGGGAGTGAGGGCCTGAGCGGGTATTTGGGTGTAGGGCAAGACCACGCCTCCCTCCACACGCCCGCGGTCACCAATGCCGCCCACACCGCCTACCAGACCTCCCACCATCACCATCACCACCATCACCATGACCTGGCTGCCCTCCATGGTGAGTACAGTGAGGAGAAGATAGTTGTTTGGTGCTTTTTGCTTGTCTTTGAATATTTTTTTTCTTTTCGTAAGCTTATGTAGAGTTGAGTGTATATATATATATA